AGTTTTTTTTTTTTTTTTTCAATTTCAAGCAGACAAACATCCATGGAGAGATCTTTGCAATGGAAGGCATTTCTTTCCAACGACACTTTCCATTCTCTTTCGAATAGTGGAATAAAAAATTCTTTCTCTGAAAAAGTATTTTTTCTTCGAAAGGTCTGAAGAAGTTTAAGATGAAGAATATTTGACTTCGAAAGTGTGAAAAATTTTTGGCAATTCCTTCAAAGCCAACAAATTGTGGACACTTCATAAAGTTTATTAGCATGTCAAGTAAGTTTAAGACGGTTAAAACAGCGTTCCTTACAATCGATTATTAAATTTCCAGTTTTGTAAGGAATGATTTTGAAATACTTATTTGTTGTTTGTTCCGCCAATCTCCTTTCTCCTTCAAGTTCTAGGAGTCTCTTTTCCTCTGACCTCATAACCCGACCTCAGTTTTGTCCTGAACGGTGCAACTTCACCTGAAGTTAATACTCGGAAATTATAAGCAGCTTCAGTGCGATGCTTTGAGTAGTTTTTTGAATAGTAATTAAGTTTTGAGCAATAATCAAGTCATCGTCATGGAAAATCTTTGAATCGATTAGTTATATTTCAGAATGTCGCAACTTACCAAATTCTGTATTTCTCAAGGTTTTCAAATGAACACATCATTAATTTGATCCATTTCCTTGGCAAACAGATCGGCTATTGTCTTGAAATTAACAACAATTTAAAATTGCTTGAAGTTGAAAATTAAGAGTTCCACGACGAGGCAATATAGATCACAGTTCTTTAGTGAAGGAAATTATTATAATTAACTAGTTGGATTGGTGAATGGCATTTCAGAATATGGTTTGTCAGGTCCAAGAACTAAAACTATCCAATATACTTTGGTACAAAATATCTTAGTGAGTTTTGGGCCCTAGACATTTTTGAACAATGAAATCAAATATACAAGTTATTGCAGAAATGATTGTTTGAAAAATTTAATCCAGCTGAAGGAAATTAAGCGAACAGATAAATGAGCTAACCAATCCAATGATGAATACTTACAAACTGGTTTTTAAAACAATACGATAACGAAGATGATGAAATATAGCATCAGTTCTTGTCCTCCTCTTGAAATCAATCAGCGATAGTATCATTTCATAGGTAAAGTAAAACCTGCAGATATTTTTAGTATCTGTGGTCGTCTGTCAGATGCTACCAATTTTATTGCTGTCACCGCTCTTATTGCCATCACTGCTGCATTTTCCAGTATCATTATCATCGTTGTAAAGAATATGATTGCTCAATTGGTATGCCATGTACTATGAGAAATTCCTTAAATTTGATAATATCTGTGCAATCTTGAGGTAATCAAAATAAGATTAAGAGAAATTGTCTAGTAAAAATTAATAAATGATGTGACTTATATCAACCATTTGCAAATACGAATAAGTTAATTTAAAGTTATTTTTTCCTTTCAAGTAATAAGGACACAAAAGCTAAAAAAAACCTGAAATTATCTTCAAGTGACTGTCCTAATTATGATTAACCTTCCCTAGCGCTAAAGAAATATCAACTAGTCCAAATAATTACCCCAGACTGGATCAAGTTTCCAAACTTATGCTGAAGGACTACATGAAACAACCACGAATTATTAGACTGGAAGTTCTATGACAGAATATTTGTTACGAAAGACGTATTGCTGAAAAATAACTTTTATTGGCTTCAATTAGGACGACAATACCAGTCACGAGTGCAAATCAATACTCACATTTGGACTTTAATTTTTGATTTTTATTTTTTCATTTCTAATGCATAGAAGTATTGAAGAGGTCATTAGGATGGAAATGAAACTTAAAGAAACAATATTTAATACAGCCAAAGTGGCTCGGAGAAAGCCATGCTCAAACGGAATTAAACCTTTCGGTTACTTTGCCAGCTGCACAGTCTATGTTAAGATGAAAAAAACTTAATTGCAAACTTGGAAAAAACTTGATAGAATTAAAAAATTATTTGTACGAAATTTAATTATAAACTTAATCATGTCCATTGTTTTATCAAAATTCTCACTTTTTTCAATAAAAAAAAAGTATCTTATCACGTTGTAACATCAAAAAATTTCCATCCGCCTATTCCTTTGTTCATTATCACTTTATTTAATCAGTCTTCGTGCATTTTGAAATGTAAAACCAGAAGTATTTTTTTGAGGTCATAAAGGGATAAAATTTTTATTATTCAGAGATTCATTTCCAATCATCATCAGCACGCAACATTCCTAGACATGATATTTTTGTCAGAATGTTATCACTGTTTTTTCCTCATATGATGTTTTGTGTTTTTTGCAGCTTAATTTATCTCTGAACTGGGCATTTTCCAGGTGTTTAAAAACGGTTACTTCACATTTTGTTCAAATTTTTATATTCTGGTTAAAATTCAAATCCAACAATTACTAATATTTATGTTTAACAAAATACATTTATGTCCACGATTTTAAATCATTCAACTCTTTCTCAATCAAGTTTATTAATGCTTTTTCCGGAAAGTTACATGCACTCTCATTTGAAAATGGCCTAAAAATGATCCACTTTAATGGCAAATTCAAAATGACTCTGCAAGTGATAATTTATTACTTTCCAAAAATCTCCAGCTTATATAGAATAGGTTCATAAAAAATAATTTGCATTTCGATACTTTTCAGCAATTGACGATTACTTTAGTTATTTAGTGCTTCTGAAGGCTTACAGTCACTTGCACCTAATCCATTGTAATTTGAAAAAAGTTTCCATTTGAAAACACCAAGCAACGTACCAACAAGTTGATAGTTACGTTTACAATAAAAGACTAACGAAGTTAATTTTCATTATAGCCTAAGCATCTCATCCGATGAACTTCTTCAGCAGTTCAACATCACGCCTCATTATTCCACGTTGGAAACGACCAGATACACAGACAGTTCAACAGGGTACGCTGTCAACCACTTGTAAGTATGCGAGCACCGAAGGACGCTTTTCAATCATTGATAAAAGGTTCACCATCCAACATCTCCCCATTTGTTTATTCATCCAATTACGGGAAAGCAATAAATAGCGCAGATCAGCAAAAAAAGAGATAGCTGTAACTTGTGTTAGGTAAAGATGTTCACAACTCAGAGCAATAATTATAAGTAAATTGATTTGATTGAGTAAATTTAATGCTTTCAAAAATTTGAGACAAAAATTTCCTTGTACTTCGCTGGTTGATGATATTCCGTTTAACCCATATTGTTCTTATAACTTGATATCTGCCACTCATTGTCAAGCCTGGGTCATCATCAAACAGTTCATTAAATCGTCTTCCATATTTTAGACGTAAAGAATCGGCAAGTATGGAATCATCGGATTCATCTTCTGACGACGAATTGGATTTCAAGGATAAAAGTAGGCTAAATTGCATTTTATTTGTTTTTATAATTCCATGTTCTATTTCTGCCTTTTTTCGCAATACGACCCCAAGTTTTCAAAGATTAATTTCATCTAGGATCTGTAAAGTGTTCGATAACGAAACTAAAATATAACAATGAAGCAATCAGAATATTAAGTAACTGAGATAGCCCCAGTCTTTTCAGTCCCCATTTGAGTCGAGATATAGTACAGCCTCAGTTTCTAATTACCTTTTTACCGTCATGGTAAATTGCTAGTGGAAAACATCTCTTGGATTTACAAAACTTTATGCCGAACAAGGAGCATAATTTCATATTCTGTGCATATTTCCTGAAATTGAAGTGGTTTGGATCCGATAATAAAGTACGAGTAATCCAAACAGTCTGGTTTTCATTGGTCAAAAATCAATCTGTTCCATCTTCTCTGCAGAATTTTCCAGTCTTGCTTTTCTTAGACAAAACTTTGTTGGACATTTTTCTGTAAGAATCTTTAGGACTGAAAATCTTGATAATTATACTGTAACAATCCGTGGTGCATGAAAATTTCGCCTATCCATCTCTTAGCAACACTTATATTGTAAAAGCATTATTGATTGCAGAAACAGTCTTCGCGGGAACCAAATACGGTCATCATGTTTCATTCCGATCATCAGCAGCAACTACTGCATCTTCACAACAACCACAATCTGGACTTAAGAGTAAGCAGGTGAATGGATCACGCTTCAGAGTAAGTTTTTTTCTATTGAAGAAAATACGGCTAAACAGCTACAGATGTTCGATTTATGATTTGTTAATGATTGATGTGGAAGTGTGATAGGAACAGTTTAAATATGACATCACTAAGATAAACAACGTTACTCGAGGCTCCGGACACACGGAAACGATTATTTGTTGAAAAGTTCTAAAGTTTTCCGATTGATAACCAGTGGTAGGGATAAGGTTCTATGTAGTTTTGATGATGAGCAATTCATTGCATTTTTCGGAAAGCCCTATATTAAGGCGGGAAAGTAAACTGTGGGTGAGTTAAAATATCGTACCATTACACACCGTGTGGAAATGCAAGGAAATGTTGGTGTACTTCGAACGCTTCAGTGATGCCAACATCTGTAAAATTTGAAGAGATATGTATTCACTACTGCAGCGGCTGGAGTTTCTCATGAAAGTAGCTGACTTTGAAAACGAATCTATTCGGTTCGGTTTCTACTACAAAGACGCAGGGATAAAAGATCAGACGTTTCGCATAGAAAACAAATAATGCATCTAACGCGAGGTGGCAACTTGTTTTGGAACGCTTGGAACAGTCAGATCTTAATGTTTCCGATGTTAAGTAATAAGAGCTGATAAACTTTCCACATTAGAAGCGTTCAGGATATAGCTGTAAATTTCCCAAGAAGTGGAAATCACATAAATATAGAAGATTTGAAATGATTCTCAACTAGTAACGCTATCCAGAAGCATTAACCTTCACATTTTACTCTTTCTTGGTCGAAATCAAATGGCAAAACCTGACGACAAAGTGTTCATATTCAGATTCACATTCTTGTAGTGAAGGCTGAAGGATGACATTCAAGGACCGAATTACGTCGTTAAGTTAAACTCTGAGCGGCGAGTGTTGGTAATTTGTGAAGTGTTAATTAATGAGTTAACATATCCAGCACTTAACTACGGGTTTTAAAAATCATTGAAGCTATGCCATCTGGAAAATTAGTTATTTTAAGAGCCATATGTGGTAATGATAGTATGCTGGAAATCCTAAAGTTCCAGAAATTCACTGTTTAATATTACGCTGAAAATAAATTGGAAACCTTGCTTGGACAGATTTGATCTTACAATGATCCTACAATCTGTCAGAACTCCAATGTTTGGCTATCGTTATACTTGGGAGTGGGATAATTTTCCCCAGTGGAGCATTTTTAAAACTAATTTGAAGGATCTCAATTTGTTTGGTGGCAGGAAAGAACTCTTTTTGCCCTTTGAGAAAGCCAATACTTTCACTTTTCTATTTTCAACTGATTTAGAAGTTATCAAAAACAGCTGCATTAACTGCGATACATCATTAGATATAACTGCACTGAGGTCGGTGGTTTGAAGTTAAGTTATTTGAAATCGATCGAGAATGTGCGGGCATTACATGAATAAAGAGTGAAAAGAGATTGATGGGCAGATTGGACAGATAGTACATATAATAGTGAGCAGGTTAGTGAGCAAGAAAAACTTTTGGCGATGCTTTAAACACTTTCTACTAAAAATACACAAAGATTGAGACTATTTGTTGTATTTCCAAAACATTTTGCTATGCTTTTTGGCGCTTTACCTAAGCTTTATGTTAGGTATAGGTAAAAAATTATCCTTTCCTTTCAATTTGAACATAAACTTCCTTATTACGTTCACATTTATGTTCATATTTCAGACGCACTAATACATCCCCCGCGAAAGGGCAGAAGAATTTTCTGAGAGATACTGCGATTAGATTTCATCTTGTAAAAAAAAGTGCACCGAAGTCATTATTTTTCACTGAAAAATAAAAATAATGATTTCTCTTCAATAAAAGTGCTTTCCATTCCAATAATTTTTACTTCCACTCTTTTACCCACGGGTAATCTTTAGTTTGGAGGCAACCCGTAAATTTACTTTTTTTCTGCGATATAAATGTCCTATTCAGCCTGAAGTAGGAATACATACACACACGCATACACATATACAAACATATACACATACACACACATACACGTACATACATATACATATATACATACATATACATAACACAAATATATATATATATCACATACACACAAACATAAATACAAAGACACAAAAAACAAACACATACCACACATGTACACACATATTGTAGACATACACACATACGCATACACATATACACAGACAGAGACAAACTAACTAATTACAGGTGTTTGTTTTCTTATTAGTCATATTGTTTGACTAATTATACTTTTTGCTGTGAAACTTATTGCAGTTAATTGATATTCAAAAGAATTAGCAATTGCAATCAGTTCTAACTTTTCAAATGCAAAATTCACCAATGATCTTACATTTTCGATCTTTTTTTTATAAATTTAAAGAAGCTATCGCAGCAAACTTACATTTAATTTTAATTCATCATACATTTATATCAAAAATTTCCTCTGCCAGCTTTGCTGTACTGTTGTAGCAAAGATTACACTGTTCTCTCCATTACTTATTTTGAAATATCACTTCCAGTGATTTAAAAAAAAATGGAAAAATTAAGGCAAAGAAGCAGGTATCTTTCAAAATCCTGAAATAATCTGGACTTTATCAACAGATTAAATATATGAACATTTTAAAATTACCTAACTATTAAGGATGCAACAAACATACCTTGCAGAAATATTTAAATAATGCGGTAGAATTCTCATTGGTAGAATTCTCGTTCCACAGAGTTTAAAGAATTGAAGCACTAGGATATTTTTGGTTCATTTCCAGTTTGAAATAAATGTTCGGCATATCGAATAATAATAATAATAATAATAATAATAATAATAACAAGTGGAATAAGCTGAAATGAGTCGAACAAAGGTCTAGCTAATTCGGCAAAAGATTTGGTACTGAGTTAATAGAGATGAAATCAATAGAAGCTACTAATACTTGTAGTCAGTTATCTTCTGCTTCCTTCACTTTTATTTTCTTTCCTTCTTGAAACAGTTCCACAATAAATTTATCCATAATAATCCACAATTCATTCAAGAAAATCTTACATATTTCACTTAATTACTGAAGTGTCCAGGTAATATTATTAGAATTATGGTTGCTTTCGGTAGAAATCAATTATAGATATTGGCTAGGACAATTCCGGTAATTAGTAATTACCAAGTGTATTTGAAAGGATAAAGTGGATTTAATTTATGGAAAGAAAATAAACCTTTAATTGTGAACCGCTTAAATAACAGTGATGCAGAAATCACTCTTTGCTCTTTTGATATTGAGTCAGTAATACTGAAATTAAAGTTATTTTTTAATAGATGTTTGTTGTCACCAATCTGTAAATCGGATTCTATCATAAACTTTGATCTTCAATGAATGAGATCCAAAATCTGATCAAAACAGAGGATATTCGGAAATGATTGATTGGAAACCCTTATTTATTACAATTCTGTATTGCAGATTGTTCCTATTGAGTCATGTTATGAACGTGGTCGTTGGGCATGCTGGGATTTCTACAACACGAAATCTACGAAGCAGCAACGTGAACGTCATACCTCACCATTATCGCTATTCAGTAGCTCGAGTAACAGTAAATTTTTAGCTGATAATTAAGCAAAAACTGATGGTTTTAAATTATGTTAAGTAAAAGTAATGGCATAAAGTGGGTTGCCTAACAGTCTGTATGAATGAGAATTACTGAACCATGTTATTTGATGACTTCAGTTGTCATTACTAGCTAACTTGCTTCTTCGGTCCCCCATCCGTCCCCGTTTTGTTTTGTTTTGCCAGTAACGCTTTTAGTAAAATTACCCTCTGCTACTGCACTTGGCGCTACAGTATCTCCGATTTATAATTTCCAGTTAGGATAAGCAACTGTAACTTGCAACCTTTTTTTATGAAGTAAATTTCGCATTTAAAATTCCATTTGGATTAGTTTTTAATTTTTTTATTCGGAAATAATTTTCGGCAAGCTTACTCTCATTATCCGAAAAGTTAGTTTATGCTAATTAGAGGACAACTAATTTGTGATTTGTGGACACAAAAGGAATGAAATTCATTTAGTAGTGTATCATATCAATTCATTAAACTGCCAGTAATCTATTTCGAAATAAGTTTAATGCTTTATCATAACATATGAGAAGTTTTGAATTTATTTAAACAGTGAGAGAAATAAAATTCTTATTCAGCAGGAAATCTTTTATAACTCTCCCTTCACTTTTCTCAATTAATCATTATCAATCCTAGAAATCATTTTTGTTGTACTAAATTCTAACTAACGTATGAATGTTTCTGACAAATAGCAAATGTAATTTACGCTCTTCTGGAACTACCATTATAATTTAAACCATCCTCTCTTGCTAATTTTGATTGTACAAAAACTTGATAGCGTTTTTAAGATGATCACACGGTTGATCACACCAAATGATCACACATCACATCGTATTGTCATTCTGAGAGAGGAAAATTATGCCTTTGGAGTCACTGAAAAATATCTATCTTGCAATTTGCAATCTTTTTTTCTCAAGATTTCTCCCAAAATCTTCTTAAAATTTGATCAAAGGACTGAAATGTTTTGGGTGAAAAATTCTGTTTCTAAAACTTATTTTATACTTTTCTTTAATTAAAATTTCAACTCCTAAAACAATGAATGAAAAAAAAACAAACTGTTTACTCTTTCTTTCTCTCCTCATACAGTTTTAATATATTATCTTTCAACAATTTCACATGACAGGAAGAACAAAGTGGATAGAAAAATTCTTTAATTGTAAAACTAATATCTATGAGTTTGCTTTGCGATAATTTTCTTCCTCCATTAATTAGCAGATTTAATTACATTTGATGATTACGAGCATTTGACATATTTTAGTTAGAACGGTCTGAAGCTGTATTTGATAAAAGATTCAAAAGAGCATCGGTGGTGGTATTATTTTGTCTCGTTTCTGGCTTCAGACAAGACTTTTAGAATATAAAATCCTTCTTGAAGTTTCATTCTCTAGAAGAATACCAAAAAATGATAAAAGTTTGAGCTTCAAAAACCAATTTAGAATCTTTGATAAGAACTTTTAAAATGGTTAAGAATTATTTTTTCATTTATTACAACCAAAGACGTTATTTACTTCGAAATTTTCAGAGTAGATATGATCATTAAAAGGTAGCCCACTTTTAAATTGCAGGTTTACCCACAAAATCATTCAGAAGTACCTGTAAATCATCGATGTTTTTACCAACTGATAATGTGCCACGTACAGCTCCTCCAAATGACCAACAATCTGTAAACTTCTCGTTTGATTTCACGGACGAATCCGATATTGATAATCATCTTACAACAAAAGCGGTTTGTTTTTAATGTTTCATAATATATTTTGTCATTCTCTAATAGCAGGAAAGAAAAGATTTAAAACTGATTTTTTTTCCTTGGCTAAAATATGTCAGAAGCCTATTGTACAGTATATTGATTAGTTAAATTTCGATGGAATTGAAAACGGTAACAATCGCAGTGAATTAAACCGATGATCATTTTTAAGAATATCAGTATTTTGTATTAGCCAGAATAATGACATGCTAATGATTACATCCCGAAACATCCTTGTTTTGTTATTTTATCTGATTTTCAATTCATTCGTATGAGTAAATGGTAATTTAAGGATGATAGTTTTTTCCCCTTAAAACTTATCAAGAAAGAACTTCAACCGAAATCATTTATAAGAAAATTTGTCGGAATTCTTCCTTGCTACTGATATCTCTATCTTGTCGATTGCTTTGCATAAATTAAACATGAAAACATATATGCTTCTGCAAGGATAAATGACATGTTGGCTCTTTGGACTGGTAATTTTTTTATACCATCCCATAACAGTTCTCGAGGATCATATTCCAGCATCTACGGGAGAAGATGAAGGCTTTTATCGTTTTCCTTTTATCTCCTAATGAAAAGAATTGTTTCGTTTTTATTTGTATGTCTATTTAATTCAAGAATAGTTATAACGATTTGTTTGCATCAATCTATCAAAAAAAGTTAGGATTTTTCAAAAATGCTCTAAGATTTGTCAAATATGATATCCCAGACTATTATTACTTGTAGTAGCCATTCCTTCTTTTCCTAAATAAATGTTAGTGACACAATTGAGTGTTAAGTTTATGTACATTGGTCTTTAGCAGAATGCTTGTAAAGTCAGCCATTTTAGCTCTTTCTTATCGTTAAATTGCTGGTTAAAGTTTTTTGATTTTAAAACAAGGAATCCAGCATTTTCATCATTCACTTTTTTAATAATCTTCTTGTAATGATGGATTTCAACACGATTTGTGAAATTTTGGTAAATTTTGAAGCACAAGAGTCCTTCATTTTTGGTGATGACAACATCATTTAAAGTTTTTCATATTTGCATGTGTATCTATATGGACTAGTTAAAACTTTCTCTAGAGTTATTCAGAAAATCTTTGGATTTTTTCCATCAAGGGCTGAATTTCGGTTTTGAATTTTTAAAAATTTTTTAAAAATGAAAGTCGGAGATAGTTGTTATATTTTTTGTTATATTTGATATA